ACTAGAAAAACAAAATATAATTACATCGGTTAAATTTATCTCATTTTTTCCTAAAAATTATTAAATAAATTTTGACTTTTTAAAATTTCCTCATAATATAAAATAGGTATATGAACATTTTAATATAAAATAGTTGAATAAAAATAATATCCGGATGCCATATATTTTCTATCTTTGCCTCTCCTTATATTTTATAAAAATTATTAAACAGAAACAGACTATTTTTCTCGGTTATTAATTTATTTTCCCGACCCTATTATAAAGTATTATAATTAATTCGAATTCGATGTTAATATTGATAAGAATTGCTCGTCCTTTCTGAGTTGGTAATGTAAAGTAAAAAATATACTATATTTGCCGATTAAGAAGCGAACAATCTGTTAAAATAAGGATTCAAAATTTATTAATATAATATAATTAATTCGATCTTAATATTGAACTATTTCCTCAAGTTTACAATAAAGGTTTTCGTGACTCGAGTTGGTAGAGTAAAGTAAAAAATAAATATTAGAATTAAACATTTTGAAAAAGTAAATATTCAAATTTATTAATACAAGTTAATTATTACGATATTATTGAGTCATGAAAATATGAATGACAAATTGAGCAAAAAATACACAGTAAAATATTACATGAAGTTGGTTTTGGATCGATGATAGATTTGTCAACCATATCTGCCCATTTGAGTTGGATCTGGCTCAAATTTTCTACCAAAAATTATGCTAATTTGACCAAATCAATCAATTTAGCAACCCACAAAAATATTTTAAAAATTGGGATTTGTTACTTAAATTTAACTTTTGCCAGATAAGGATTGCCATTTTATGTTATTGTAAATACTAAAAACACGACTTTTACTTAATCCATAATAATGCTCAAATTATGCAAGTTAGAAAGCATCGTAAATATTTTGTAACCCAATAATAACGCCATCAAAAATTTAAGAAACATACTGTACTCATATTTTTTTCTTAAAGAAATTATTGGGGACGCTGATTTTTTAAAATTAGATGGGGTAGCTCCCCATAGGCAATAACCTGGTTTATTAGCGATTTGTAATATTTTTGAAAGTACCAATAATGGTCATAATTTCTATGTTATATTTTTGTTTAAATTTTGTAAAAGTTTAAAAATAATGTATCATATTGCACCGAATAACATTTATTGTACATATAAAATCAGGCATATTGCAAAATAGTTTCCTAAAAAGAATTTAGAAAAAATATATTCCGTGATCCGTGATATATAACGCATATGCCCTCTGACGTTGAATAAACAACAGAGCTACGCTAGGTTTTCCTTATTTTTATCTAATTGGAACATAAGTTAATTGGGGTTTAAAGTTAAAAAAAATATGAGGAGCCTTCTACACGTGTGTGGGCAAGCCGCACGTATTGTATGGGCAACATTTCGAATATTGTTACAGACGTCCATAGGCTTTAAGAAAAAGAGCCTATGCCCAAGAACTGTAGAATAAGTTAATTACTTTAAAGGTGGGTGGTGGCTGATTTTAAGTTTAAATTCTTTAGTGTAAGTCTTTATGATTGCTATCAATATTGAGATTTAAGGTTAATAGAATCTGAAATAAAGATGATTAAATAAAAAAAATTTGCCTGGTCAGTATGATATAGTATTATTTTTTGTTGATGATTTATCCATACAATACAATATTACCACTTATACTTCCAAAAATTAATTTCCCAATTACATACGATATTCTAGAATCCTAACACTTCTTTTAATTTTTACTTTTTTCCTTCTATGAAGCAAATTTATTTGGAAAAAAATCAATACATATTGTATGGACTCAAAATATTAAAAGAAATATAATTTTTAAGCGAATAAATATAATTATTTTTGAACTATGGCGCATCTTCTAGTTAAATTTGCATCAACAATTTTCTTTTAAAGGAAATCAATAATAAAAAAAGTCTAGAATTCAGGCGCGTACGCAGCGGAAGCCAAAAAATGCAGATGCCGGATATATTTTTCAAAAATATTATTGTTTATATTAATTTATATTTGTTAATATTTATTCCTATCTCATATTAAATATATATTTAATTACATTTATTATCACATTTATCTACTTTCGATTTCAAGTTTTCCAGGGTAATATTTACTTTATTTTCAAATTTTTAGTCGCGTAATATTTATCTACCATTTTCAAATTTCTAGTCAAATAATAATTATTTCTGAAACTTCTTGTCCAACAGGGAGAAAAAAATTGCAACCTTGTCGAGATAGACTCTCCGCCATCAAGCAGTGACAGCTTTTATGGAGTTGGAAGAGCCGATTATTTGCTATTACTGAAATATCACAATGGTCTGAAAGAAATATTTCCTCAGAAGCAAAAAAATTATTGGATTCAATGCTAATTCCAAATTTTTTTCTCATTAGAATATATTATTTAATTATACAACTATTTTATGTATTACTTTCCCAAAACATGACCTTGATTTGATTAAGAAGATGAGAATAGCGGAGAGCATTTAATTAGAACTCAAGGATATTAGGGCTAATGTTGATGTAAATTTCATATTTTATAAATTATTGTTGAGTCAAAAGCAGAGTTATACGTGTTTAATATTTGTCTCCCTCTACTTGCAGCAAGGCAAGCTCATCGTTAAAACATTAATATAGGATCAGTAGAAGAGTATATCTTAAATATATTTATAACCTAAATAAATGAATGGTTTTTAATTCATCATGCAAGACTTACCAATCTGAAAATATTACACAAAAGTCTTTGCAATCTTTTTCAGATGGTGATAGAAAAAAATATTTGTTAGATTTTTATCATCAAGATGTTAAAGTATCTTATGATGCCTTATTAGTTGAATAACTATGTTTATATGATTAACTATGGATGATATAATCCCAAAAAATGCTATGGATGATATAGTCCCAAAAAATGTTATGGATGCTCTGCATTATTTCAAACACATTTTAGATTATATTAAAAGGGTTTATATATCTTAGCAACTCTTCCCATTAATAAACTAATTAAAGAACATTCTCTTTTTAAAGAAGAATAACAGAGCCATGTAGAGGTAATTTCAGGGCACGGCCCGGATTTTTTTAAAAATATTTTACGGCCCGGCCCGAGTTTTTTTTAAAAAATTTCAGACCCGGACCGGCTGTTTTTAAAATAAAATTTTTATGCCCGGCCCGGATTTTTTAAAAATAAATTATATTTATTTTTGAATTTTATAGCTAATAATAACGATTTCAAATATAGGCTGTTTTAAAATATACAGACGGGCCTGGATATTTTTTTAAAAAATCTTAGGCCCGGCCCGTGTGTTTTTTAAAAAAAAATTCGGGCCCATTCCGGGTATATTTAAAAAAATTAAAATTCGGAGGTCTCTGAAAAACATTCCAAAAAGTACATCCTCTGAAAGTAGATTGAAAGGTTTGGATCTTTTGAATATTCATAAGCATTTGACAAGCAAGGAAGAGATAATTGAAAAATTAGCACAATCCTAACGAAGATTGGATTTTACATTGTAAATATATAACATACAAAATACAATTATTTTTAAGAAAATTTTTTATACTTTATATATAAATTTTAAAGGCTCAAAAAATTCAAATTTTTATTTTGGGTCATTTAAGTGATTCTTATAGTGGTTATATTCACTTTATATTTTATAATTCACATTTCTTTTATAGTTTCATATACTGCCAGTTATATCCGTTTAATATTTTTTAATTCACATTTATTTTATAGTTTGCCGGTTTATACATATAATTTTTTTATAATTCACATTAATTATTATCCCCCCTCCTACCCATACCAAATTCCTGCGTACGCGCCTGCTAGTATTTATAGTTTCGAATTTGTCCTAATTGAGTCACGCCTATCTTATCATTTTAGTAAGAAATTACTAATGCCTTTACTTTTTAACTACATGCGTAAAATGTAACGATAAACATTATAGCTTGTATATAAATATAGATCGATTAATATTTATAAGTGTTTAAATCATCTAATATACATCCCAAAATTGAAGAAAGCATAAAATTAGAATAATATCAGACAAAATTTTAAAAACATTTAGTTTTAAGAGATGCTACTAATTAGGAGTTAAAAATTTTATATTTATGAACTCCTCTCACCTTTTTCTTTTCGAAAATGATAATAACTAATTTTAACCCTTCGTTGAACAGGTGGGACTATGCAGACACCAGTCATTTTAAAAACGTTATAACTTAAAATTCTTTCGATATTTTTGCCTGAATATTTAAATAGCTTTGCATTTTTAGGTAAAATATATGTGCGCAAAATTTTGATTTTGTAGAGTTGTTAAATGATTTGGATCTGGGATCTGCATAACCTGGTAATCCGTGTAACTTTTTTTTCATTTGTTTTGGCATTGATCTGCGATAATATTCTTAAGCAAGAATATTATGCTTTTGGCAGTTGTGGGATGCATTTTAGATAAAATAAATTAAACACGTTTTAAAATAAATATTGGTCGATCTATATTTATATACAAGCTATTCGTCAAACGTTCAAGCTTGATTGCCCAATATAAATTTGTAAGTCAAACAATCTAATGCGGTTTCATAAAACAGACCAGCCTTATAATGAAGCAAAATATTTAAATTTATTATTGAATTACAATAAAATGTTAACAAAATATAAATAATCAAAATAAAATTTCAAAAATTTATTAAACATTTAGGACAGATATTATAAGTTATTTGTAATTTTTTATTATATTAAGTAATCTCGGATAAGTTATCTACACAATTATCAAAGATAAAATATAAATTTGAATTATAATTTAATTAGTGGTAGAAAGTATTTTGGGGTTTAGCAAGCTCCAGTAACACTCGCTTTACTAATCATGTTTTAAATAATATCAAGACATCATAAATGTTTGTAAAAATCACAAATTAAGATAGTTTTCAAAATTTGCTAAAAATTATTTGTCTTACAAACATTTTCCAAATTTGATATAAAAAATTTATAATCATTAAATATTTCAAAATATTTTTGCATATAGATTGACATTTAAAGATTTATTCTAGAATAAATTTATATACCGTCTTAAATTTTAATGTAGGATCCACTGAGCAACTTCTCCAGTCTTTTCATTACCAATCTCCTATAAATCGTATATCACTCATTTCTAATACCAAAAATTTTTTAAAAAAAAAGAATAAAAAATAATAGCAGTATTAATTTATACTAGATACTAGAGTTTTAGAATTTTATTCTAATATCTAATACTTTTTACTAAGCTTGAAACAAAGTTTGTAAAATTTTTTCAAATTTTTATTTAACTCGTGGATTAAAATAGAATAACAGTGACAACTTTTGACCCAAACTTTCTACTGGGCTCAAACATAAATATATTTTTTTTTTAATATTTCTTAATTTAACGCAATAGAAATCTCACTATGAAACCAAAGGTTTTAGAAGATATTTCTAGAATCAATAACCTTTAACTACCTCATAACAAAGTTTTTGGAAATTTTCTGAAATAGAATAGCAGTGAATTTAATACTAGCCCTAGTGGTTTTCGAGCTTCTTTCTAATATCTTGAATCTATTACTAGGCTCAGGACAAGACATAAATATATAATTTTTTTTATTTTTTCATTTTACGCGTGGGTTAAAAAATATTGACACTAGAAATTTCTTTATGAACCTAAATGTTATAACATCTTTCTAAGTATCAAAAATTTTTAACTAGGCTTAAAACCGTTTTAAAAAATTTTCATAATTTTTTTCTCGTGGAATAAAATATAATGGCAATGTTAATTTATTGCTAAACCCAGTGGAACATCTTCTTAATATCAAACTTTTAACTGGCTTAAAAAATTTTTTTTTTAATTTTCATATTTATTTTCTACATGGGGTAGGGGGGGGGGTAAAATATAATGTAGTGCCAATTTATTACTAGACCCAAGGAACATCTTTCCAGTATCAAAAACTTTTAACCAGGATTAAAACAGTTTTAAAAAATTTTCATTATTTTTTTTTACTTGTGGAATAAAATATAATACATGCCAATTTATTACTAAAACCAGAGGTTTTAGAACATTTCTTTAGTAAACAAATTTTTAAAAAAATTTTTATATTTATTTTTTATTCGTGGAGTATAATATAAAGACAGTGACGATATTTTACTAGACCCAGAGGTTTTAGAACATCTTTTTGGTATCAAAAATATTTAACTAGGCTTAAAGCAAAGTTTTATAATTTTTCATAATTTTTTCCGTCTTGGAATAAAATATAGTAATGGTGCCAATTTATTATTAGACCTAAAGGTTTGCGAACATCTTTCTAGTATCAAAAACAATTTTCATACTTTTTCCTCGGGGACTAAAATTTAATGCAGTGACAATTTATTACTAGACCAGAGGTTTTAGAACAACTTTTTACTGTCAAAAACTAACTAAGCTAAAAACAAAATTTTCCTTAATTTTTTTTTCTCGTGGTGTAAAATAAAATGGCATTGTCAATTTATTACAAGACCCATAGGTTTTAAAACATCTATTTAGTATCAAAATCATTTAACTAGGCTTAAAACAAAATTCCATAATTATTTTTCCTCGTTGAATAAAATATAATGGCCGTGACAATTAATTAATTATCCCATAGGTTTAGAACATCTTTCTAGCATCAAAAACTTTTAACTAGGCTTTAAACAAAGTTTTAAAAAATTTCCTTTTTTCCTTGTGGAATAAAATATAATGGTAATGCCAATATATTACTAGACCAAAGATTTTAGAACATCTTTCTAATATTAAAAACTAAAAACCTGGATTAAATCACACTACTTTAATTTTCTATATATTTTGTTGACCCAGCAAGTTGAAACCATAGGTCGGCTAATAAGGCACATTGGGTCGGGTCTGATCTATGGCTAAATGAGTGGCTCGGGTATAAGGTCGTTTTTTTCAGTTCAAACATTGCTGAGTTTTCTGCTAAGCCTAGCAGCAATTTAATAACAATGCGACAGGATATTCACTGAAAGATAACTCCCCTCCAATGACATATAATAATACCCTGATGATGCATTCATAATAATGCATTTGAAAGCTTCGTTGAATACACATCAGCTGGACCATCATTTTTGTAACTCATATAGTAATTATTCTCATGTTAAAAGCTACTATTAAATTAATAACTAGCTTCCTTATTATCTCGATGATCAGGCAATTCTTTAATAAAGTTTGTGTCAGACATAGGAATAAATTGGCCTCTCGTAAATTTTTAATGATATGGGTAACCAAAATGGCGTCCCCAGCTGTTTTCACTGATGTACACTTTTAATGAATGCATCGTCAGTTTAGGTATTATTATATGTCATTGCTCCCATCATAAACTTATATCTACCTTACTAAAAAAAATTCGTCTAAATATTTTCACATTATTACGCGTTTTTAATTATAATACTTCCATAATTTAAATTAACAATACTACTACCAGCTATCAAACCTTAATGTATTATTCATGTTAATAAAATTTCTCAGGGTGTAAAGAATTTAAAGGGATTGGGCCCCACCCCCGCCAATTTGAAAAAAGTTAAATTTGAATCCATTAACTCCTATATTGTTATTAAAATTTTTATAGTCAAATATCTTTTTCATATTTTTTTATAACCAACATAGAAGATAGCGAAGCAAAAAATTCTATTTATTAATATTTTTATAAGTTGCCGTTGCTTCTGCTTTATTTAAGGTATTGAGAGCATTTCACAATTAACAGTAATGGTGATAAATGGATCCATTTTTAACTTTGAGTCAACTCTCAAAAGGCTAAACCACAATTCTAAGTGAAAACTATTATTTTAGTCTCGATCGAGGTGTAAACTTAAAGGATAGTTCAATTTTGAAAAAAATATACTTCTGCCACAAGGCTTTGATCTTTTACAGCGATGGATCGAGATATAGATACGGCGTCTAAAAACGTATCTAGATACAGGTTCACCAACACAACACCATATAAAAAATGTCAATACCCTTATTACAAACGAATTCTCATTTAAATCGAGCGTTTATTTTATAAAAAAATTTTTACAATAAACTTATAATCTATTTTTTAAAAGTTAGTGGAATATCTATAAAATTATTTTAAATAATTCTAAATAAATTTATTTGCTTAGTATATTTTGTATCAGTATTGTTTATAATTAATGGGCATCATGGCTAAGAAAGTATTTATATATTCCTTTACATGATAAAAAATATCCTAAGCAATCTTGAACTGATATCTATAGATTTAAATAGGTAAAAAATAATATTTATTTACTATTCTTTTTTATTATATTTGTCTTAATATTTTTTAATATATTATTTAAATTATATGGCCATATGAGATAAAATTTATACTCAAATATTTTTATAAATAAAAATATCTTAAAATGTATCTAAAAACCAATAAAGATACCTCAGAAATAGTAACATAACAATAATTTTATAAGTGTGAATCTAGATATATAAATGGCATTACTTTAACAATTCTGTCTAGAACCCTTGTACCCCCCCCCTAGTTTGAGTTCAGCTAAAATACCATTGGTTCCATGTTCAATAGCTGCTTCTTCTATCATTAAAAATTGTAAAAAAAACATTAAACATTTTTATTTTATAATACACTGTTATTTTTTTTAAAGATCAATATTGGGTACCAATCCGATGCTGATATTTAATATCAATATAGCAGTAGTTCTTAGTGAACAATTCTTTGAGATTTGATGGTAAAGCAGAAGACAGGGTGTAATAAAAAAATTATATTCATAAAAAATTTTCAAAATCATCAAGCTCAAGAACCATTATATAAATGATAAAAAAAAATTAAAAGGTCCATCTTAGAATCAATCTTTCAAAAAAATATTATTTAATTAATATGGTGTTAAAAATAGTATTGCTTTTGTGATATCGTTTGTGACTTTGCAGTAATAATTTTGTGAAATAGCTTTTGCTTTGTCTATTCAATTTGGGTTTCATAATATAAGCTTCACTTTTATGTATTCTTTAAAAAGAGTGTGCAATAAGGGTTTTGCTATAAAAAAAGTCGCAATATAGTCCTTGTGAAATAGTATTCAAGGTAAGTTTTGTTATAAAATCAATTAGCAATAAAGGTTTCATGATAAAAATGTCACTGAATTGACTCATATTTAGTTACATTCTTTAAAATAAATATCTCAAACTGTTAAGTATAAGTTCTCCAGTTATCATGGATCTGGCACACACCAAATTATAGACAATTGGCTTAATTTTAATTGTTTTCAAATTTTTTATAATTTTTAGGTTCTAAGACAAATTGGCAAATATTATAAATACCTATTTTTATTAACTATTCCATATTTTTGAGATTATTTATTCAATTATAATATATTTACTAAAGAATTTAAATTAAGTAACTTTACAAGCTAAAAATTGTCAATTGTAATTACAAACTAATGTTCTAAAGCAAAAGAGTTTTTTTAAATAAATATAATATAAATTTTCAATAATTCCAAACTCTGGTTATAATATATTTGTCTAAATAATAATAAAATTGGTTAATTTTTAATCTTAATCATCCAAAAAATTTTTTTTACTTAAAATGAACTGAATCTAATAAAAAAATTAGGCCTAATGTAAATATTGTTATTTCTTTATAAAATTAATAATTTCTCAAGTTATCAAAACTTGACGCTTAGCCCAAACCACTAGCTATCATGACAATTTATTATTTCAATTTTTTTTTATATAATAACATTATATAATTTGATTTCTTCAATAATGAAGTCAACATAAGTTTATCATTCTTATTAATCAAGGAGAAGATTTTAATGTTTATGATTTAATAAGCTAGATTTATAAATATAATTTGGTATAATTAACTTTAAATTCACCAGAATGACTGGTATTTTTTCTTCAAATTGTTGAGTTGATTTTTGATCCCAAGAGGCCAAATTGCAATTAATTTGTTTCCTAAATGTATAACCATATTTTATATGTTAAATATCTTTTTATAATATAAGGAATAGGTAAATTAATATACCAATGTAAAAGGAAGTCTCTTTATATAAATAAAGAGCTAGGGTGTAATTGGCAAAATATAATTTACTTTCTGAAATTTTTTAGTACATTTTTTTTTCATTCTCCTTATCTGTGATATATAGGGCATATGCCCTCTGGCGTTGAATAAACATCAGAGCTACGCTAGGTATTCCTCATTTCCATCTAATTGGAACATAAGTTAATTTGGGAGAAAGTTAAAGAAAATAAAATATGAGGAGCCCCTACACATTTGTGGGCAAGCCGTACGTACTTGTATGCGTAACATTTCGAAAAAGGTTACAGACATCCATAGGCTTTAAGAAAAAGAGCGGGGCAAAAAAAGAGCCTATGCCCAAGAAATGCAGTATAAGTTAATTACTTTAAAGGTGGGTTGAGGCTGATTTTAAATTTAATTTTTTTTATAATTAATAATGTAAAATTCATGCTAAAAAAAAAAAATTAAGCATACCAATTTCATTTTGGTTTGTCCTGATGTCCTGCTGGAAAATACATGTTCATTATAAAAATAAGCCTAGATTTTTTTATTTAAAATATTTGTGTTTGATTTTGAAAAGCTTCTTTATGGAATTTTTGCAGTTATTTAACTTGATAAATTGTTTCATGTTTAAATTTAGTTCCATAATATCTTTTATGGTTTTATAATACCATAAGGATTTATATTTTGTGTATTCTTTCCTATTATGAGTGTAGAGTCATGTAATAGCATCATGAACTAGATTTTGATCTGAGTTCCTTATAATGTGAGCTAGGAATTGAATGCGGCGTTTTTTTAATGTAATATGAATTGGAATATGTTTTGATATTCTCCATAAATTATTATTAGATATTACTTTTGGGTAGAAGATACCATTTATAGTATGGAGGCAGTTATTTATGAAGGATTGTAATCTTCTATTTTCTGTTTTATTAATTTCCCATAAATCTCCGCCAAATAGTAATATAGGAATTATAATAGAATTGAAAATTCTTAATCTGGTGTATACAGAAATCTCTTTCGTTTTCCAAATTTTCATATATTTATAAAACGCCCCTCTCGATTTTTGTATTCTAATTTTCAATTCTTCTTTACAGCAGCCTTTGTTGTCTAACAATATGCCTAAGTATTTAATTTTATCTACTATCTTAATAATATTACCACTAATTATGATATTTGGATTCTGGACTGCACTAGGGGAAGGAAGAATGACTGTTTTGTTAAAATTTATTTTTAAACCCATTTTTAGACTTAAATTTTCTAGCAGGTATAACAGATTTTCCGTTTCTTTGATGCTTAAAGACACAATAGCGATGTCATCTGCATATGATATTATCCTATTTTCTAGATGTAATTTTGCATTTAAGCTCAGATCCATTAAACTCGCAGCTCCCGAGCTTCATTTATAATTATATACATTATGATATTAAAAAGAATAGGTGAAAGTACACATCCTTGTTTCACACCTTTTTTAATACTAAAAGAAGGGGATGTCTTATTGTTGATTATGATACAACCGGTAAGATTCGTGTAGTGGTTTTTTAATATTTGAATTATATTTGATTCAATCCCACATTTCAACAGTGTTTTCCATAAAGCATCATGATTAACATTATCAAAAGTTCTGCTGAAATCAACGAAAGTGAAGTAGGCAGGAATTTTATATTTGAAACATTTTTGCATTATTATTTTTAGTGATAGAATTTCTAGTATATTTTTCTTAGGTCTATAGGCACAATTATATTTCAGAAGCAAGGTTGGTAGAGATGACATGATTTTGTTTTTAATTAGAACCATGAATATTTTAGACACAGTAGATGTGAGGGCAATCGCACGATAATCTTTAAAAATTTTTGGGTCTTTTATTTTTGGGAAATTACATAATAAAGAGATATTCCATTCTGCGGGGGTTTTTCCGATTTCCCATATTTTATTAAAAAGAGATAATAAAAAGTTCTAGGAGCAATTTAAGATGTTCAGCTGTTATTTTATCAAGTCCGGGAGCTTTATTATTACGCAATTTTTTAATTGCTTTTACAATTTCATCCGTGGAGAAACCCGACGGGGGCGGAACTAAGTGCTCATTAATGTTTGTTGGGTGGATAGCTCTTCTTGAGTCAAAGACCATCATATAATAATCAAGCCATAGTGCAATTTGTTCTTCTTGGTCAAAGATTTGCTTTCCATTTGCTAGAACTAAATAGGGAAGTTTCTTAAAGCTGTACGGTTTACAAAAATAATTTAATTTTTTATAAGCATCATTGATTCTATTTTCTTTCATATCTTTATCAATTTCAAAAGCTTTTTTTGCAATGTATCTTCTTCTATCACTCCTCAATAATTTTTGTACATCTTTCCATAATTCTTTATTCAAGTTATTACCTTCTCTAAGTTGACTAATTTTTACTATTGTTTCATTTGTTAACCATTCACTTCTTGAATAGATATTTATATTAGGTAGCCTATTATAAGAATCTGTAATATCTTTTTTGAAAAGATTCCAACATTTATCAATCATTCGAGGACATATTTAGAAAATTATCTTTTTTTCTGATGAGTATTTGATCAAATAAAGCAAATCATCATGCGATTGAGCTTTAATTTGTTCTGGAAAGGAGGGGTTTTAAGAAATTTGTTCTATGAAAAGAAGTATTTGGACTAATCTCATTATGGTAACTCCATATATTTTTTATAGTTATTTTGGCTACTACTATTCTGTGATCTGACAAAATATTAGTAGATACTATAACATCATCAAACCACCCATGAATATTTGATATGAAAAAATCTATCTGGGATTTCTGATTAGCTCTTACAAAAGTATAAGTGTTTATCTCACGATGGTGAAAAAAATTATTTTCAATTTTAAAGCTTTTGTTTTTACAAAGATCTAGTATCTTCACTATTGGATTGTTGTAAAGTTGCATTTCCGATAATATTCATATTAGCATACTCTGTAATTTTACTAATTTTTAGATTAAGATCACCTAATATTATTATATTATATCTTGATGGCAAAGAATTAATCAATGTGGTCATTGTGTCAATAAAACTTAGTCTGTCATTTTTTTCTAGGTGGAGCATATAAGTTAATGATTATTGTAGGTTTGAATTTAGTATTCATATAGAGGAGACCATTTCAGATATATGTACAAATTTGATGATTGATTTTTGTATTTTTGTGTTTATTAGGAATGCAATTCCAGTCTAATTATTGGAGGTGGTACCAGAACAAAAAAGCTTATAATCTTTGAAGTCTGCAGTATTATTTCCAGGGCAGTGGGTTTCTTGAATGCCTACAATATCTAATTTCATATATGTAAAGTCTCTAAGCAATACTACTAATTGGTTTTTTATTCCATTTATATTGAGAGATGCTATTTGTAACTTACCGAAAATAATATGTTCCATTTTAGTATATACGTTTGAATTTTAGGAAAATTGGCTGTTAATAAATATCAATTTATAGAAAAATTTAAATAACAAGTTATAAGTTATTTTTACAAGAAATAAATTAAATTATATCAATATGTTATAATAAAATATGAATATAGAAGAAAAAGTTAGAATTAATTTTAATTTTAAAATAATTATTAAAACAATTTAATTTTTTAAATAAATATTTTACAAGTTTTTTAGACAGAATTCTATAAAAATTTATATAAAAAATATATCATTCTCCTTATAATATTGTGTTTTCTTAACTTTCAATTATATCTATAGAATTACGTGATACGTGATAAAGAACGTTTTCGCCCTCTAGTTGTGGATACAACAGAGCTACGTTAGGTTTTCCTCATAATCCATCTAACTGGACAAATTATAATGGGGATAAAAATAAGGAGCCCTTTACACGTTTGTGGGCAAGCCGCACGTACTTGTACGCGTAATAGTCCTAGGACTATTACTTAAACGTCTGTGGGCTGATGGGGAATGGTCAAAAATAAGCACAGCCCACACCCATAAAATACTTATATACAATTACTTTAAAGGCAAAAGAGGACCTGTTTTAATCACAAGGTGCATCAGATATATGATGGGAAATTTAAATAATGAATGGAAAGGAAAAATAAGTCAGATAAAGGCAGGGGCGTCGCTAGCCTTCATATTCTCAGGGGGTTCAACTAAAAAAAAAATTCTTGGGTGCTTCGCCCGCATACCCCCCCCCCCCATTTGCAGGCTCTCGGCCGGGTTTTATATAAATATATTATACTTTTTTAAAATTTGTTAACTCTGAACAATTATTCTGATTTTCAAATTTTGTCATTTATTATATTATGCATACAAAATAAACTGGCATATAAAAAATTACATAATGCAATAATATAATTCTTAGCAAATTATATTGACAAATGGTTATCAAACTAGTATAAATCTCTGTAACCATTTTAGACAATGTTTTATAGAATGGACTAATAAGGAAAAATTTATAAGCCTAAACCAAATCAACAATTTTTGTAGGAGAGACATTGGCGTACGCAGAGGGGGGGGGATCCCCCCCCCAAAGCTAAAAAATGCAGATGCCGGATATATTATTCAAAAATATTATTGTTTATATTAATTTATATTTGTTAATATTTATTCGTATCTCATATTAAATATATATTTAATTACATTTATTATCACATTTATCCACTAAGTTATTTTATAAATTAAATTCGATTTTAAGTTCCGGCGTAATATTTACTTATTATTTTCAAATTTTTAGTGGCGTAATATTTATTTACCATTTTCAAATTTCTAGTCAAATAATAATTATTTCTGAAACTTGTCCAACAGGGAAAAAGAAATTGCAAGTCCAACGAGATAGAGTCTCTGTCATCAAGCATTAACAGCTTTTAAGGAGTTAAAAGAGCCAATTATTTGCTATTACTGAAATATCACAATGGTCTGAAAGAAATATTTCCTCAGAAGCAAGAAAATTATTGGATACAATGCTTATTACAAATTTTATTTCTCATTAGAATGTATTATTTAATTATACTACTATTTTAAGTATTACTTTTCAAAAACATGACATTGACTTGATTAAAAAAATGAAAATATCGGGGAATTTTATCAGAACTCAAGGAAATTAGGGCTAATGTTGATGAAGAATTTCATATTTTATATCTTATTGTTGAGTCAAAAGCAGAGCTATACGTGTTTAATATTTGTCCCCCTCGACTTGTAGTAAGGCAAGCTCATCGTTAAAACATTAATATAGGATCAGTAGAAGAGTATATCTTAAATCAGATACATTTATAACCCAAATAAATGAATTTTTAATTCATCATGCAGCACTTACTAATCTGCAAATAACTTCCACAAAAGCCTTCCCAACCTTTTTCAGATGGTGATAGAAAAAAAAATATTTGTTAGATTTTTATTATGTATATGTTAAAGTATCTTATGATGCCTTACCAGCTGAATAACTATGTTTATAAGATTAACTATGGTTAATATAGTCCCAATAAATGTTATGGATGCTCTGCATTATTTCAAACACATTTTAGATTAAATTCCCAATGTATTAAAAGGGTTTATAAACTCTTCCCATTAGTAAACTAATGAGAGAACATTCTCTTTTTTAAGAAGAATAACAGAGCCCTGGAGAAGTACCATTTTCAGGGCACGGCCCGGATTTTTTCTAAAGATTTTTTACGGCCCGGCCTAGGTTTTTTTAAAAAATTTCAGGCCCTTTTAGGCCCGACTCGGCTTTTTTTAAAAAATTTTTAGGCCCGGCCCGGATTTTTTTAAAATAAATTAAATTATATTTATTTTTGATTTTTATAGTTAATAATAACGATTTCAAATATAGGCTGTTTTAAAAAATACAGTCCGGATTGGGTGTAAAATAATTTAGGCCCGGCCTAGGTTTTTTTTAAAAAAATTTCAGGTCCGGCCCTGCTTTTTTAAAAAAAATTTTAGGCCCGACTCAGCATTTTTTTTAAATTTGTAGGCCCGGCAGCGTCTACATGACAGGACTTTCACTAGATGCAAACCCCCTTCAAAAACCCTTGCTACCCCCCTAAATAATACCCTTCGGCGGCGGTGTTTCCCTATTATTATTTTTACCCTTTTAATTTATTGATACTCTTTTCAGAGAATTTATAAAGGATAACTTAAATTAATCAATCTCTACTACCTACTAACGATATTTTGTGAATATAAAGAATTTATTTTTTAGATAATAAATTCTTTTAAAACCTCCATTATTTACAATGAATTAATTATTATGGCATTATGAGCTTGCTGAAATATCTAAACCTTTTAAATTACATTTAAACGGATAGCAGAAAGTTTTATTTGGAAAACAATGTGTATGATTGTTTGCAATATATAAATTTGGTCGATGAATTGTATTACTATTACAGCAATAATTTTGTCCTATTTCATCTCAAAATTTAATAGATAACCCTCCAAAAAATTTATCCTACCACCATTAAAGCAGCTTACCTCCTCCCCCCC